ACTGCAGCTTTCTGCCTTGCAGATTCCTGATAAGCAGTATGTGCTGACTGCCCTGGCTGCCCGTGCCAAGCTGCGAGCCTGGGATGATGTGGATGCCCTCCTCACCACCAAGGTGAGCTGCAGAAAGCTTTGCTAGGGACCCAGTTCCAAGTACCGGTATCTGCTACTGATAGCTGGCTTGTTCTGGAGCTACTGGACAGACTGGTTTTATTTCAGCAGCACCCAGCACCTCTGCTGCAGAGCGTTGCAATATCTTTTCTCCTCTCGCGGCCTAAGACCTCTGCTGGGCCTGGCTTGGCTGCAGCAACAAGGTTGGAGAAGGGCCCTTGAGCTCCGTTGCCAAAGGGTTTGCAGCCAGCCTGTGCCCAGCCCCTGCATGAAGGGCTCTGCCAAGGATGCATTTGGTGGCTGGTACAGTATGTTACTGGCACTAGGAAAAAAGCATTTTCTTGTGGCTGGAGGAATTGCCCTTCTGGTTTAACATAGGTTTGGTTCTTGTTTCAGAACTGGCTGGGCTACACCAAGAAGAAGGCACCTATTGGCTTTCACCGGGTTGTGGAGATGTTGCAGAGGAACAATGCTCCTGTGCAGGTAAACAAGGAAGCACTGCTTATGTCGTCTTGTTCCTTGTTGGGATTTGGTGTTTTAATAACTCCCCAAGTGAGCTGCTTCTTAGTTTGGAGTGGGAGTACAGTTTGCCGAGCTGCTGGCTCTGCCATGCCCCCCTGAGCCCCCCAAAACACACCACGGGTCCACAAGACCACCAGAACACACCCTGGGCCCCAAGACCACCAGGGTGACCATGGAGACACCACGAGAGCCCCCCAGTGATGTCACAGTCCCTTGAGACCACCAGGACACACCATGGCCCCCTGAGACCACCACAGCACTTGGCTGAGTGACCCATGCATCAACAGGAAGTGTGGGTGATAGTGAGGGCTGGGTCCTAGGTCTGACTGCAAGAGGGATAGCAGGTCTAGAGTTGTCTGTGAACTCTCTCCCTCTGTGAATTGCCACCTTTCTTTGCTATATTAAATTTTCTCTTGCTTAATCTGGCTGGCAATGGTTAACCTGATCCATAGGAATGAGGTGGCCTAGGACTCTGAGCTTTGTGAGCAAAGCTTTACTGCCTCTGGGGTCTTGACCAGTCTTTTCCAGGTCACTTGTTCCCTTAGGAAGGACAGGGTCAAGTTTGTGTGACCGGCAATCTTGAAAGGTTTTGGGACTAAGGTGAGAGAACAAGGCAGGAAGTACCTGCAGAAGGGAGCTGAGACATTCTTCCTTCTCTGGCAGGTGCTGCAGGAGTACGTGCGCCTGGTGGAGGATGTGGAGACCCGGTTGAACCTTGCTACCAAATACAAGTGCCATGATGTTGTCATTGAGGTAGGCACCTGCTGTGTGTGTGAAAAGATGGGACATGAGCCTGCTTTTTCTCTCTAGCTTTTCTGTGCTCTGCCACATGCCACTGCTGTCATGTGCCTGGTGAGGTTTCTTGATCCCTGTGGCCTGGGAAAAGTGATAAAGTTCCCAATGGAAGTCCAGTGAGCCAGGAGAGTGACTGCTAGTATTTGTGTTATGAAGTTGTTCTGTGCTGGGAACTTGATGGGGGGTTGTAGAGTTGCCCTGCTCATCTACAGGGCACGAGCTGTGGAAGTGTCCAGTTCACTCAGCTGAGTGTTGGTTTTGCTGTTTATCTAGACCTACAGGGATCTAAAGGATCGTATCCAACTGACAGCATATAAGTGCAAGGTGGAGCGGGGCTCTGCAGAAGAAGAGAAGATAAACAGTATTCTCAACAACATGGTAAGAAGTGCTTACTTTTTCTTCCAAAGACTCTCATCAGAAATAGACGTAGATAAGGTGTAAGGGCATGGTTGTGCTACATACTTTCTATACCTGCTGGGAAGCTAATCTTAGTTTGGGGTTGCATTCAGCATAGGAATAAATGGTTATACTGTTGGAAAGTGCACCCTCTGGCCATAGCTGTCCTCGTCAGGGTTTGGGAGTCACTAACTTGGCCCCTAAGGGATCTATGTTCAGCATTGCTCTTAGTCATGTCTTGTTCTCTCTTTTAGCAAATCCGGTGGAAGAACTGAGCACCTGTGAAGGAGCCTGTTTGGCCATTGCCTTGTCAGTGAAGGCAGAAACTGCAAAACCCAGTCCAGTGTCAGCAGAGCAGCTCTGTTTCTAATCATTGTATGATCAGCGTTTGTCAGTGATAGTGGGTGCCTATGGCTTGAGGGACAGTGGCATTCAGGCTGGTTGAAGGCAGCTACTCAAATGTAGCCATCACAATCATGGTACTGATCCATCAGGGTTGATTCTTTTTGGAATCTGATTGTCTTTGACTTGGCTGTAAGCTAGGCATCACTTTTGTTTATGGAGGGAAGTTGCTAGGCACAGCAAGGTTAATGTTTGCTCTGGGTGGTGCCTGGGCTTATTCTTGCAAGAGGAACAGTCAGTCAGAATTGTGAGTCTTTCCACTAGACAGTGCTGACCAATCCGTGTAACACTCAAGCTGGCTTGGGCATCACCAATCATGGCTGTGGCTGGAGTAAAGCCTACTGGACCTAGTTCTCCTTGCGTCCAAGTGTTGGGGGAAAGGACCAGCTGCACCTTAAAACTCTTTTTTTTTTTTTGTTAGTTTGTTCTGGCTCACTCTAGGAAAAGAGGTGTGTGAACTCCTGCAGAGAGCTAGGACAGCAGCCTCTGCCAGTATCCTACTGCTGGCACTTGGAAGATCCCTTTATCAGGGAAAGACAGGCACCTAGTGTGGAGCTGGTTAGAGTCCTCTTGGATTGGATGGAGAGCAAGCAGGGACCCCTCTCAGTTGACACAAACCTGCTGGCACCAGCAGCTCTTTTCTCTGAGAGTGTTATGCCAGGAAGGATTGAACTGCACTTTCTCAGAAACACAACTCCTCAGGCAACTGCTGGCTTCATCCTTCAAGACCTCACTTCAACTCCTTAAATAAAGCTGTTTCTTTCTCCTTGGGCTGTTTGTTTCCTTCCCTGACTAAGCACATTGTCACCCTTATGTGCTGATCCTGAGCAATTTATCACACCTCCCACAAAGTGAATATGCAGGGTGTTTTCTCGTGTTCTGAAAAGCACAGTGCATGTCACCATGGAGCGGCTTTGCTTTCAGCACTACCTTATTTCACACTTTTAATGCCATCAGCACAGATGAAATAATTTTAATGTTGTAGGAGACTTTGCTGCTGCAGGGGGGTCAAACAAACACGAGGGTAGGTTTGGATTCCAGCTTCCCTGCTGCACTGCACACTCTCATTTTTTTCTGTTGGTGTATGTTTTTTTCCTTACAGAATTGTTTGGGTTGGAAGGGACCTCTTGATCATCTAGTCCCATCCTGCTTTAGCAAGGTCACCTGGAGACCAGGTCATCCTGTCATCCTGGCAGACCAGGATTGTGTCTGTTTGGGGTTTCAATATCACCACTGTAGACAACTCAGCTTCTTTGGGAAACCTGTTCCTGAATTTGGCCACATTCACAGTAAAAAGGTGGGTTTGTGTCTTCAGATGGACTGAAGTCACGTTTCAGTTTGTGCACCTTGTTGTCACTGGGCACCACTGAAAAGCATCTGGGTCCCTTCATTCCCTCTCATTAGATACTTAGACACATTAATAAAATTTCCCCCGAGCCTTCTCTGGGTTCAACAACCCTAGCTCTTGGCCTCTCCTCATATGAAAGATCCTCCAATTCCGTAGTCATTTTAGTGGCCCTTTGCTGGACTCTGTCCAATATCTCCATGTCTCTTTTGTACAGAGGAGCCCAGAACTGGACATGGCATTCTGGATTTAGAAAGGAAGGATTACCTTCCTTAACCTGCTGGCAACATTCACCCTAAGACAACCCAGGATGTTGTAGACTAGGCTGAGGTTTGCTGCAAAGCTCTCACAAATGCTCCAGTCCGGGACATTGCCTGGTTGTAGGAGTTGGAATGGTGTCACTGGTTGGGATTTTTGTCAGGGAGCAACAGGAGAAGCTGAACATAGCCTTGTAGGCATCTGATGAAAATATTTTCATATAAAATAAATTTTCACACCTGTATTCTCCAAGCATGAACTGCTCCTGATGCTGAGCTGGGCTCTGTGCCCCAGTGTCCATGTTTCCATCACGTGTCCTGAGAGCCTGGGTAAGTACTCCCCAGCCTGGGCCTGGAAGTGGGACTGCACTTATATGCACTTTTAAGTGCACTTTTCTCACAGCACTTCCAGCAGAACCCACTATCTGCCAAATATCAGTTTAGTTGTTTGCTTTTTTTTTTACCAGTCCCAACTGAGGGTGGTGGAGACATTAACCCTGTCCTTTGAATGCTGGCTATTTTAATTTAGTCCACTCCATTCCTGTGGCTTTTCAAAATTCTCCTTGTTATTTACTAAGAACTTGGTCAGTGACTGAGACTCCAGATTGTTAAATATTCACCTAGCAGAAACCATCTCCCCCACAGGGTGGTAGCGCTGAAACAGAAACATTGCTCTCCTTGTTTTCATGGCTGCAGGGTCAGTTGTGACAAGCTCCTCGCTGGGCTATGAAGGCCCAGCCAGGAGAGGAGATGGGCCTTCAGCATTGCAGCAACTGCTTCCATACACACTGTCAGCTGCCCCACAAACTCTTAGATAAAACAAGACAAGTGGGGAGAACGGTCCTCCAGGGAGATGCTTGGAATAAAATCCTCTTTCTAATCATCTCAGGGAGATAGGAAACAGAGATTATTAAATAGCTTTTTATACATCTTGAAAACTAGCCAGATCCCAAGGCTTGGCTGTTTCAGCTTCAATTCAGCCCACGTGAACCGGGCCAGGAAGCTGAGCTCTGTGCATGTTTATCCCTGGCAGAGAGGCTGCCTGTTTTGTGTCATTCTGCTGCTACCCTTTGCCATGTAGGAACAGTGATGGGCAGCCACCAAAGTCCTCTGTGCCACTGTGGGCAGGCAGACAGCAGTCCCAACCTTGAAGCAGTGGTTTGTGTTTCACCTGCATGTGGCAGAGCACAGGTAATCGTGCTTCCAGTGCCCAGAGGTGCTGGTTGGTCACATCTGCTCTTACATGCTTTTACAACAATGCCCAGCTGCTGTCCTGGGTGGACATTGCATTCCTCTGCTGTCTCCCATCAAACAGTGCTGTCCGCCTGCTCTGTCATTTGTCCTGTCATCCAGGAGCCCCGCATTGTGTACAGCTTCGACACCTCCATCCCTCTCTGCAGGAACTACACTGGTATTAACATTCTATTTCATAGAATCATAGAATCAGCCGGGTTGGAAGGGATCTCTGAGATCATCAAGTCCAACCCTTGATCCACTACTGCCGTGGTTACTAGACCATGGCACTAAGTGCCACATCCAGTCTCATCTTAAAAACCTCCAGGGACAGAGAATCCACCACTTCCCTGGGCAGCCCATTCCAATGGCTGATTACCCTCTCTGTAAAGAATTTCTTCCTAATATCTAACCTAAACCTCCCCTGGCACAGCTTAAGACCATGCCCTCTTGTCTTGCTGATAGCTGCCTGGGAGAAGAGACCAACCCCCACTTGGCTACAACCTCCTTGCAGGTAGCTGTAGAGAGTGAGGAGGTCTCCCCTGAGCCTCCTCTTCTCCAGGCTGAACAACCCCAGCTCCCTCAGCCTCTCCTCATAGGACTTGTGCTCAAGTCCCTTCACCAGCCTTGTTGCTCTTCTCTGGGCCTGCTCCAGCACCTCAATATCCCTCCTGAACTGAGGGGCCCAGAACTGGACACAGTACTCCAGGTGTGGCCTCACCAGCGCTGAGTACAGGGGAAGAATCACTTCCCTAGTCCTGCTGGCCACACTGTTCCTGATCCAGGCCAGGATGCCATTGGCCTTCTTGGCCACCTGGGCACACTGCTGGCTCATGTTCAGCTTCCTGTCAATCCAAACTCCCAGGTCCCTCTCTGTCTGGCTGCTCTCCAGCCACTCTGTCCCCAGCCTGGGGTTGTTGTGGCCAAAGTGCAGGACCCGGCACTGGCCTTGTTGAACCTCATCCCGTTGGAATCAGCCCAACTCTCCAGCCTGTCCAGGTCCCTCTGCAGTGCACTCCTGCCTTCCAGATGATCGACACTCCCCCCCAGCTTAGTGTCATCTGCAAATTTGCTGATGATGGACTCAATCCCCTCATCTAAATCATCAGTAAAGACATTAAACAGGACTGGGCCCAACACTGATCCCTAGGGGACACCACTAGTGACCAGCCGCCAACTGGATGCAGCCCCGTTCCCCACCACTCTCTGGGCCCAGACATCCAGCCAGTTCTTAACCCAGCACAGAGTGTCCTGTCCAAGCCATGGGCTGCCAGCCTTTTCAGGACTATGCTGTGGGAGACAGTGTCAAAGGCTTTGCTGAAGTCCAGGTAGACACATCCTCAGCCTTCCCCTCATCCATCAGGCGGGTCACCTGATCATAAAAGGAGATCAGGTTGGTCAGACAGGACCTGCCCTTCCTAAACTCGTGCTGGCTTAGTCTGATCCCTTGACCATCCTGTAGGTGCTATGTGATTGCACTTAGGAGGATCTGCTCCATAACCTTGCTAGGCACTGAGGTCAGGCTGACAGGCCTGTAGTTTCCCGGGTCCTCCTTCCAGCCCTTTTTGTGGATTGGCGTGACATTCGCCAACTTCCAATCATCTGGGACCTCCCCAGTGAGCCAGGACTGTTGGTAGATGATGGAGAGCAGCTTGGTGAGTTCTTCTGCCAGCTGCCTCATCACCCTTGGGTTCATCCTTCAAGGAAAACAAAAATCAATGCTGAATAGCTGGTGGCCGTTTTCTATGCAGCCCTGAACAGCAGCACGTGGCAGAACCTGCCTCACCAGAAGGCACTGAAACTACTCAATGACCTCAGTTTTCCTGAATGCTGCTCCATGTGGGCAGAGCAGAAAACTTCCTGTCCAGGTTTGTGTGCAAGAGTTTTGTCAGCAAGGGTTTTGCCTCTTTGATGACTCAAGAGGAGAAAGTAAACGGTGGAATGCTGAGGTACTGCTTGTCCAGGCTTCCCCTTCGCTCTGAAACTTGCCCCATCCCACAGCTAAAACAAGGGCTGTCTTATTGGGTTGGAAGATGCTGAACTCTGTGTTGCCCTTAGGACCACATACCTGCCAGAGAAGATTGTTTTAGATGATGCATTAGCAATAAAAGACCTGGACTGAGATATTTTGTCTCTTGTTCCTGTTTAGTTACTTATCAGGGTTGTCTGAATCCCATGAGCAGGACCGGGGCACCGAATGAAGAAAACAAAAATTCCTATGGGAATACCTAGAGAGGACAGTTCTTAGGGGTAATGAATTTATAGCAGTTCACGAACTAGGATGTTTAGGCAGGGGAATACTGCTTGAGGGAAATTACTCCTGCTTGTGCAGGATTGTTCTAGAGCCATTAGGCTCAGTTTTGCTCCACTTGGCAGAGTAATGCCTGGAACATTTTATATTCAAGTCTTTGAGTCTGATTGTTTCTCAAAGGCCCAAGGAAGAGTCTTGCAGTCAGACATTGAAGAAAACCATTATTTGTCACCTTATTAACAAGCTGCTTTGGACTGCAGTTGTCTGCAAATGTTTTTATTTGTTTTCTCTTCCCAGAACCTTTTCCTGGTTTGACTTGACAGCTGTACCAATGAGAAAGTCTCTCCTTAGCCAGCTGCTAGAATAGAGAGAGCTTCTCCAGTGCCATCCCATGCCTGGTGCTCTACTAGACCAGGCATCCTCTGGAGACTGGTCTACAAAGCAATGTGGGTAATCAGCACTAATCAGCTGTAGTGGAGCCTGGTGTGATACTGGATGACAAATCTCCATGCTTCACAGCTGCTTCCAACATTTTCTCAGAAATTCCAGAGGAAACTGCTGAGTATGATTCTAAATTCTCATAAACCATAATGAAGCCCATCCAGAATGCTTTGCTGAGATCTCATCCCAGCCTCCTCATGGGACTAAGGGGTGTGAGAACCAGCACTGTTCACTCTCGGACTTTTTAAACTATTCCAGCTAACAACCCTATGTACACGTTTTCTTCTACACGTTTCATTCTCTAGACTGTTCAACAAACCCACTTACCCCTGGCTGCCTGAGCTTTTCTCTTTTTTTTCTGAATTTGCTTATTACATAGTCTTCTTGGTCTATGAACTACTTCAGTTTCACTGTGTTTCTGTTGCAGCTTCAAAAGAAAACTGAATTACAGAAAAAATTATATATATTTTGTAGTGACTACTGCTTTGGTGTAACAAACTAAACAGGATCAGGCCCAGCCTTTTTTTATCCTTTTATTTTTTTAATCCCAATGGGGGATCTCAATAAAGGTATTGAATCCTGGCAACATACTAATGATTTAGTCAGGAGCACTCTTTCTGTTGAGCCAGGCTTTAATCAGCACTTACTTCTACTTCCTTGCTGGTAATAATGCACTCCGCCCTCACCACCACAGACTATGTGATATATCCTTCAAGGAAAAAGGAAGTAACTGGTTAATCTGTCCAAATCCACCCAGGAAAAAGGAAGCTTAATTCCCTAAATTCTCTGGTTCAGCTTACAGTATTCCCTCATGCTTCTTGCCACCATCTATCGTGTTTTAGTACTGTTTACCATGATAAGACACTGCCTGCCTGGTTTCACCTCACAGGAAATAATTTCTGTGGGGAGGCCAGGGATTAGTTGTGCACATTGCAACGAGGCCCCTCACTTAATTATGATGGCTGACAGCAGCTGTAGCCACACCTGTTACGCCTGTTATTTTATGTGCCATTTATCTTACACCCGGGCTTAAAAGTGAGCCCACTCTGCCAGCACTAAAGACTGGGAGAAATCTATTCACTTGAGCATCTGGCAAGTTGTCATCAATCACTTGTGGTTAAAATATGCATATGATTGTTTTTTGGTCTTTTTAATCAACTGTGAAGCAGAAGTGAAAGACAGACAGTGGTCTGACCTAGAGCTTCTGCTTCACTTGGTTCCTGTAAGCAAATGAAGGATTGCAGGAAAGAGACAATGTGGGGATGTGTTTGGTCTAATCAAACGTCTAAGAGCTGCAGTGGCCTTTTCTATAATTGGGAAAAGGTGGAACTGTACCTCCTTGGACAATCTGCAAGGTAATAAGGGTCTAGTCTGCTGTTGCTGCTGGGCTTCTTACAAGGTGGAAGTGCAGCCTGAGTCTCTAATTCTGCCTTCGGGTGTCTTGCGAGACAGGGAGAGCATCTGCTTCTACCCCAGTCTGGGATCCTTCCAAAGAAGGCACTGTATCTGCTTCCACTGTGGTCTGGGACTGTGGCAAAGGAAAAACTGTAGTATAGGGCTCCAGTCCTGCTTTTTCGATAAACTCTGTGAAAGTGAGGGCATCTGCTTTCTTTCCTGTTCGGGACTTTCTCTCTAGGAAGAGACCCATGTTGTCTCTGTATGGGAGGGCAATGGATCTGCTGAAGAGAGGCTCCTCAATCCCCAGCAACTCTCGCACATGTCGTGAAATTTCCTGAAATACAAGATAAAATGCCACAAATTCTCATTTCACAGGGCAACAGCTAAAGCTATTCATTCTGTGTCAGAGCAGCAGGAAAAAGAACTGAATTTCTGAATTCTGGAACAGTTTCACACTTGAAGTTGCAACACAAGAGGGATCTGAACCCATAAGCCCCATGTGACATTGTAAAAGCAGAGCAGATTCCTTTTTCTCCAGATTTACTGTGGGGGATGACATCACATCTGGTCTCTTAGTGGCATAACTAGCTCCACGTTCCTCTTTGCACTTGAAGAACAAATAAGTTACAGGTGAATGAGCTGCAATCTCTCCTGCTTATTTCAAAATCATTGCTGTTTAAGTTATAATGTCAACAGCAGAGTCTAAACACAAGAGTAAAAACTAATTAGCAGTAAGTCATATTGCTCATTAAGAAAATGGCTGTGTGAGCCAGCTAGACCTGGAACTGTCAGTGAACAGAGCCTTGCCATTATTTTTGAAGTCACTTCTGAGAATGTAACCATCTGATTCGACTGAAGCTTCAAAATACAATTCTCAAAGTTTTACTGATTTTTCACAGTATTTGCTCAAAATCTTCTCCCAACTTGGGCTTGACTCTGAAGAGTAGTACCCTACTTTGTGTGATAACAAAAGAACACCAGACTGGTATCTTCAGTGGTTTTGATATATAAAATACCAACACAGTGGGATTAAAACCAGCAGTAATGTCACTTGCCCATGCTGCATCGCTTCCACCTAATTAGCTGTGTAGTTCTCTACCAAATTGCCATTTCCCCTAAACTGCAAACAGTTTCTGTCTCACTGAGCTGATGCTATCACTTTTATTTCCATAGTAACTGTATCAGTTTCAACTGCTCACAGCCTTTAGTTTATATTTCTTGTCGGAAAGTGATGGCCTTAACGTTTCACCTGCTCTAGTGCACACTTCCTGAAAGACTCACAGGGCCACGTCCTGCAGAGCTCTGCATGCTTGGATTTCATCACAGAAAAGTTCTTTAAAACACAAATAACTAACAGGATAAGGCATAATCTTCAAGAACATCTAGGTTCCACTGAAGTCTGTGAGATGTTCCCAGTTTACTTGCAAGCTTTGGAAAACATTACAGAGACAGTTTCATTTCCAAGCTTGCTGCACTATGCTGGCTATCACTTATCCTGAGGAATTTCAGTTCCTACAGGAGGAAGGTTACAGTTGGTACCCTTAACCCACGGCTAAGTATTTCTCAACAGTTGCATTACCACCATACACAATCCCTATATCCCAATATGAGGGTGAGGCTTACAAAGGCTATAAAGTTCTTGCCACCTTTGGTAAGCACAAATGACTATAAAGGCTCTACCTGCTTGTACCTGAAATATTCTTGAAGGGCTGTTGTCTGAAAAACTAAGTCTTGTAAATTGATGCTTTCCTCTCAAAGCAGCAGGCAAACTCATGGCTATAGTCAGTCTTTTTGGTGGCATATATCGTTTCAAACAGTTAAGATTGTGCAGCCAGGCAGAATGGTAGTGAAATAGCATTTTGGTGCTCAAGAACAAATCAAACTGTGCTAATACTCTAGTCATCAGAGCATAAAGATTTTTCTCTCTTCCAGGTTATTTGAACTTCTACCTATGTCTTCTGGGGAAAGTAACATCAAATTATGATGCAAAACAGACAATTTGGCTTTGTAAATGCAGCCCCAAGTCCCTCTGAGGTTTCCATTAGGGAAAGGAAGAAGGGTTATGAAATTTAAGTCAACCTGTTGATTTTCTGAACCTTTAGGAAGCTCTGGAAGGCCATATTGTAACCCCCAAAGTCAGTTCTTAACCATTAGTGTCTGTTAAAAAAATATGCAGGTTTGAAAAGAAAACGGTCAAAACAAGGAAGTAAAAATGAGTGGCCTTTTTGCTGCTTGAGACCAGTGGCTCGACTGCTGCAGGTTAAATCTGACTAGATTTTCAGAAGTTCTACAAATGAGTAAGTGGAAAATTACTAAAAAGAAATTCTGAGTGGTATCTAAAAAAAGGTGTGTGCATCTTGCTAAGCAATTTTATGAGGCCAAGGGAACAACATAGGCTTAAAGAAAGGCCAAGTACTCCTGGTGCACTTCTGGTGCCCCAGCTGTGGCCAGCTAAAGATCTGTACTTGAAAAGACTCTAAAAATGTGACTGTTTGGCTGAACAAGTTTGGTTGTTCAGTTCCAGGCTCACTCTTTGAATCTGCGATCTGCCTGGGCAGGCCATGGCCCAGCCTGCTTCCCAGCAATAAAGGTTAGCGAGGGGAGTCAGGGGGCTGAGGGAGCCCCGGGACCCGCCAGGCGCACCTGCATGTGGCCGAAGTCCGTGACGCCCATGGCGGGCAGGTTGGAGCAGTTGGCGAGGACGAGGCGGCGGCCGGTGATCCCGTTGGCCCTGAAGCATTCCTGGGCAGGGGAGCAGAGGGAGAGGCGGGTCGCCCTCTGCTACTGCCGCCCCTCTTGCCGCTCACACACGCTCGCTCACACACACACACACACACACTCAGAGCTCAGGGCCATCGGCGCAGGCGGCGCTCAGGGCGGGGGCAGCCCCGCACCTCGTACTGGGGGAAGCCGAGGTGTGCCACCCACTTCGCCGCCTCCTCGGCACTCCAGGTCAAGAAGGGGCAGGCGGACCGCGGCACCCCCGCGCCCTGGAGCTCGGGCTCAGGCTCGGGCCCCGGGCGCGGCTCCATCACCTTCTTCCCCAGGCCGCCCCGGCGTCTTTCCGGGATCCGTTACCATGGTAACCGCCACTTCCCAGAGGCGCACCCCATTCTCCCTTCCGCCACCTCCTCCGCGCTGTCAGCCTGCAACGCCGCCCGCGCCCCACGGCTCTGCAGAACTAGATGCTGATTGGCTGCGTTGCCGAGGGGGGAGGCTGAGGGATGAGCACCAAGGCGCCACCATCTCCCTCCTCCCGGGCTCACACGCCCCCGCTCGGGTGTTTCCGCCGGGCCGGCCGCCGCGGTTCGGCCCTGCTCGGGTGTTTCCGCTGTCCCGCCGAGCCGTGCCTATGTCGGCCGCGCTCTCCGCCGCCGGCGGTTCCCGCTTCGAGCCTCCGGGCGGCGGCACCGCGTCCCGAGGCCCCGCAGGTACGGGCTGGGTAGGGGAAGGGGCAGCCTGCCGGCGCGTATTTTAGCTTTGGCCTTACGGGGAGAGTGGAAAGCAAACTCCCTCGTTTCTCGCGGAGAAGCCGAATTTCCGCGCTGGCAGATCTCTCGGATGGCTCTGTGGTCTCCGGGCGTACCTGGACTGCCGAGCTCACCTGCTCCCCTGCCGGCACACCTGCGCTCGGGCGCCTGGGACTGCAGCTGGAGTTCCTGGCGTTTCCCCCCTGCGGGGGGAAGAGCGAGGATTGATGGAGGTTTGTGCTTTCCCCGGCGAAACAGACCCCGTCCCGCCTGAGCCGGGCTGCCCCCGCCGTGCGGTCTCTGCCGCGGGCGCGGGGCCCCGGGCTAGAGGTGCCTCCCAGCTCCAGCCGGCTCTTGGGAAGGGCCAGCGGCTCCAAGGGGCATCATCGGCGACCTGCGACAGCTGGAACTTGTCCGTGCCCGGTTCGCTGCCTTAATGCAATCGGGCAGCAGGGCTGTGGAGCGTGTACGGCAGTCGTGTGGGGACAGAGCTTTCCCCGAGTTCAGGACACTCGGGGGAGATCAGGAGCCATCTTTATAAACAGTCCTTTTAGCAGGGGCCTGGGAATTTCCATCTCGTCAGCGCCCTGTGGGAACCACTGCATGTTTGCTTTTTCGAGGGCTTTGTCAGCTCAGTTTTACGTGATGAAATTTGGCCTTGTTATGTCCTTCCAAAGCTGGGATTGGTGGTTCCTGAGTGAATCCTGCTTCTGAGAATGGGTCTGTACCAAAAACATGCATAGGTTTTTGTTCTCCCTTTCCTAGGGTTGAGGCAATTAAAAATCTTTGTTCTGCAAGGTGCTAGATACAGCTCATAACACGAAAAACTGGTTGGCACAGCTCTTTGTTCCACAGCTGTGACCTTGTCAACATTTGAGGGCTGGCTGCAGTTTTTCCTCCTGTCAGTGTATTATAAACATGAAACATTTATTTCACCTTCTCTTCTTATATTCTCTTTGTTGTTAGAAAATGAAGACTCAGCCCAAAAGACAGAGCCTGCAGATCAGCTAGTTGATTCTTTGGAGTCCAGTACTTCGCAGAGCGGGTAGGAAAATTCTTGTGTGTTGTGGCCCACATGCATGACAGTCTGTTTCACCCCTGTGACCTCTTCTGTGTGGCAGTTTGTTCTGTGCAGGTAAAAGGAAGGGAATGGAGATTGAATTGTCTGCTTTGGGACAGTAAATACCGGAATGAGTATGAGAGGGCCTGTTCTTACAGGCTTTAAGATTGTTTTAAAGCTTATGAGGTGTAGTTCATGGCTCAGCTATTCAAATCACAGAGTAATTCAGGGTGAAAGGAACCCTGCAAAGTTTTGTAGTCTATTGTAAAAGCTAATAAACTTTCAGTGGAAAATTTTCAGTGTTCCATCTGAAGGATATTTTAGTAATTGAGCATTCCCACTGTCTGTAATTTCGATGGAGGCTGTACATGAAAACACCTTTTACTGTTTTCTTGACAAGATTTTGGCTTTTTTCTTCATACTTTGTTTTCTGCTGCCTATCAGCCCTGTTGTCAGATGTTTGGCTTGTTGGTATCTGTTGGGCATGTGGTGTTTGTGGCCAAGTAATTTCATTGGTTACAAGCACATATGCAGTGGAGTTTCATTTGCCATTATACATTCGATGCACAGGATACGGTTTCAAAAATGTGTGAATTAATTACAGTGGGTAGACCACAGCTTCACTGAGAAAGACGGAAAAAAATCCAGGAAAGAAAAACTACCCTACTTACTAAGGGAGCAGTTTGATGCCATCTTGGCTTGATGCTGATGACCTATGTATCAGCCTTCTTGACTCTAAATCAGTTCTTCCATCTCCCTGTAATATCCTCTGTTTTTCTTTTAAGAGATCAATACAGACCATGAGCAAAGTGGCCAGAGTAGATGATGGATACCTGTGGAAGTTACCTAACAAAGTTGTCTTAAGTTAGATTTCCTTTGAAAGGGATGGAGATGATCCAGAAGGGTTGTGTGAGGAGGAATCAGCTGAACTCTATCTTTGTAAGTCTGCCTGTAAAGCCTGTGTAGCCCTTCCTAATCTTTCAATGAGACTCTTAGGTATCCATGTTGTCCAGAGGAAAAAATTGCAAAGCTGTTAGCTCCTATGTTGAGGGACATGTGTGCACCTATGGTAGCAAGTGACCAAATAGCCCTTCTAGGTGAGTCCACGCAACTGCTAAACTAAGGGGCAAATAGGCTGGAAAATGATGGCATAGAAGTCTAAGAATTCTTCTTTTGAAAAATTATTCTCTCCAATAATTTTCTTTTCTTATCTTGTTCATCTGCTGCCATTTTCTGATCCTGAAATTCAACTCGTTTGAGTTGTACTTACAGACCTTCTGATCCTGCCAGTTCTAGGAGAGGAAATCACACTGTTGAGAGAGTTTAAGTAAAAAATGGCTGTTTCTGTACTACCATGGGAGTAAAGATTTGGAAACAAGAGCCACATTTGCCCTGTTCAAGTATTCTCTGTGGATTCAGGAAGGAATATATCTGAACTGAGCATGTGTTTTTGTTTTGTTTTGGGTTTTTTTTAACTATTCCAAACTATACTGATAGTTTGCTTTCTTGCTAATGACAATATTTCTAGTTTCTGAAAGGAGACATTGGAGGAAATGCATATACTTTCCATTACTGCTGTGTTCTCAAGTTTCTGATTCTTAAGACTAAAGCAGTTGACATTGGTTTTATAGTGCTGTGAGAAGGCTTTGCTTTTCAAAAGGGCAACTGTTTCTATTCGTATTTAATACTAGGTTGCTTCTCATGTAAGTTTCAGGTATATAATGAGAGCGTTACAGAGGACAGACACACTGCTGGCATCCATCTGAGTTCATTTGGGATGATAAGTCTTTCCTATTGAAAAAATGCAGCATTTTTTCAATATAATTTAAAACAAAGTCCTCAACCAAGAATAAATGCAAAAGATCTTTCCTTTCTTGCCCATTCTTTTCCTGCTACAAACCTTTCTTTTTGTTTTAACATGTCCTATTGTTACAGTGTGGTACTTGGACCTCTTTGCTAGTACTGTGCTGCCATTGTATGTCTTAGAGCTTGCTTATCTGTGGGAAGTGTATTTGAATATGGCAGAGACACCTGGGTGCTCCTTGTATCTGTTGGGCTTGCTATTGGAAAGGCATAATGGGCTACTTAAATAGATGGCATTCTCAGGATGGCTGTCAAAACTGTCTTGCGTTCTTTTATTGATCAGATGACTTCTGATGGAGTATGCAGATGTCATGCAGTAGCTGACACAAAAGAAGTTGTCCTTTCTTGGGCAGAAAAGTTGGCACTGATGTCTGCCCTTAGTACAGTGTTGGTGAGCTAGCATGCTGTGGGGTGAGTGCAGTGAATTTCTGCCGTTTAAAGGACAGTAAATAAGGAGTATTCCACTGAAGTTGCTCTCTCTGGCTCACATGGAAGATAGTCACGCAGAGATGGCAGGACTGGGGTGTTAAGGGTTCTTTGTGCAGCTGGCAGGTGGTGACCACAGAGGCTTGTTCTCTTCAGGTCATTTGAATTTGAGTTCCAGAGTGGAGTGATTCCTCTGCTGACAGTGCCCTGGGTGCAAATGGTGAATTGTAGTGCTCTCTTCCTCTGAAAGGTCACAGATTGGGTCACACCTGAGTACGGGCATGACAGAGGATTCGAAGGAAGAAGCTGACACTTTGGAGGACCAGGAAGTGGCTGAACTAGAAGAGAAGCTGCCTGACAAAATCCATTCCCTCAAAAAGGTAGGTGGATGTTTCTTATGTCTGAAAGCAAGGACAGAGGCGCAGTGAGAGTTTTCTCACCCTACTTGGGTGCTTAAGGCTATGGGACTGAGGCTCTAAGGGTTATGTTAAGATAAAAGTAGTATTGACATAGATTCAGTTACATTTTTTTTCTATACGTTAGTGGGAAGTAAATGTTATAAGTCTGATTTGCAAAATCCATCTCATGTGTTTGGCTGCTCCTCGCTTCCTTACAGTTTTTTACTCTATAAGGCTTCTAGGTAATTCTCACCTTCTGCCTCTTGTCTGGTGCTTCTGGGAATTCCCTTCTTGCAGATTTATGGAAGAGGAAACTGAAAGTCTTTTGTTTTTTCTTGCGAGCAGCCAGTTTGTTTGCCTTACAGATAGAGTCAGGAAAACTTGTGCAAATGACACCCAGCTCAGGACCTGTGAGTTTGCATATATGAGGAGAGAGGCCTAGTAAACTAGATGGACTTTTAACTCAGATGCAGCTATGACAGTTTCATTGTGGCTGTAGTCTAGATGCACACAGAGCTGAAAGGCTCTCCCTAGAGAGATTGTGTCTTAAGAACTCTTTCCAAGAGTAGTAAGCAAAATCTATAAGGCTGCTGCTTTGTTGAGGGGTGACAGTTAACTCTGAAGCAGATGCAAAGATGTGCCTGCCCAAGGACTCCCAGGGAGGTCAAGGGGTGTGTAATTTGTGAGACTAATGCAGTATTTGACTTCAAAGTTCATGACTTTGGTGCTGTGGGGGAAACAATGCCTAGAGGTGTCTTGGAGCCAGCCAGTTCTTTTTACACTAACAGAAGCTTCTGCATGTCTGACTTGGTTTCATAAAGATGCCTGAATTACTAATGAGTTGTTTCA